CAATGGGGCGGATGGATGCGAATATTATTTATCTTTAGGCCGCACGGATACACACGGGGGGAGGGTAGATCCTAATACTGTTTGGAAATATCGCTTTAGCGGTGCATTCTATGCGGCGCAATAGAGGCGGTGGCGGCGGGTCGGCGGCAAGGAAAACATAACCACTACAACAGCCCGCAGGACCAGACAAGGCTGCGACGAAGCGGCGACGGGGCAGCGACGACGATAACGGAACCGCCATACCGGCCCACAGGCACAGGCGATGACCGGTGACAGTGTGGCGACGGGGTGGCGGCCGCGATATCATGGCCACCAAAACCACCCAGGCCCGGGCGACCGGCGGCGACGGGGCGGCGACGGCCGGAACAGATCCGCAAGACCAACACATGGGCACAGGTTTTTTCATCAACAAGTAGAAAACTCGAAGTGCAAGCCTTGATAGGGAAAAACGCATAGTAATAATGCCATGTGGCTATTTAGTATTGCCTGGTTAGGTGTGTGTTATGTATCAAATATGTAACTGATTGTGAATACATATTTGCATTTACATGTAGTCATACATCTACCTGTATATATATATATATATATATACATATATACATGTATATATACACAAACATACATACATGAAAATGTATAACATACTTGACGAATGGTGTGATTCGGATGGGGGACAGAAAGGGGAGCACTGTTACATCATCGACGCCGCATGGGCCATGCCGCATGGGAGGACCAGGCGGACCCAACGGCACCTAGACGCTCTCCGGACCGGCCCAAAACAATTAGAACACCAAGAACAACGAGACAGCCACAAAGGGCTTCAGGTCAGCCCAAGACGCTCCCAAGACGGCCCACGATCATTTCTGGGGCCATTTGGGGGCGTCCGACAGACGGTAGACGGCCCCACGGACTCCCAAAACTGCCCGGAGAACCTCGGGGCACAAGTTATACGTAACTCTGCGCAAATGGGGGCGGTGGGGACGCCGGCAGTCTGCGAGACTCTGGAGAAGCCCGCCGCAGGCGCCAAAGTTTTACAAATTATACAACGAGCCCGCCGCAGGCGCGGAATTTTTCATTAAACCAGTTCAGGCGGGTCGCGGGTGGGTCGCGGGTTGGGTCGCGGGGTTGGTCGTGGGGTGGGTCGCGGGTTGAGTCGCGGGGTGGGTCGCGGGGTGTGTCGCGGGTGGGGCGCGGGTGGGGCGCGGGTGGGTCGCGGGGTGGGTCGCGGGGTGGGTCGCGGGTGGGTCGCGGGGTGGGTCGGGTGGGTCGCGGGATAGGTCGCAGGTGGGTCGCGGGGTGGGTCACGGGGTGGGTCGCGGGTCGGTTAGGTCGCGGGGTTAGGTCGCGGGTGGGTCGCGGGTGGAACGACGACAACAAACAAAGCAACAAGCAGAATCTTCACCACGGATCCCCATCCCAGCCACGCACCAAGGGACAATGAATGACCGTTCGGCCCCCTCTTTCTGACAACAAGCCCGCCGCAGGCGCCGATTTTTTCGTTGAACCAAGGGGGGGTGGGTCGCGGTGTGGGCCGCAAATGGGCGCGGGCGGGTTGCGGGTGGGCGCGGGGGGTCGCGGGGTGGGTCGCGGGTGGGTCGCAAGTGGGGTCGCATGGGTCGCGGATGCGTCGCGGGGTGTCGCGGGTGGGTCGCGGGGTGGGTCGCGGGTGGGTCGCGGGGTGGGTCGCGGGTGGGTCGCGAAGTGTGTCGCGGGTGGGTCGTGGGTTGGGTCGCGGGGTGGGTCGCGGGGTGGGTTTCGGGGTGGGTCGCGGGTTGGGTCGCGGGGTGGGTCGCGGGGTGGGTCGCGGGTTGGGTTGCGGGTTGGGTCGCGGGTGGGTCGCAAGTGAAGCGTGGATGGGTCGCGGGTGGGTCGCGGAGTGGGTCGCGGGGTGGGCCACGGGTGGGCCGCGGGTGGGTCGCGGGGTGGGTCGCGGGTGGGTCGCGGGTGTGTCGCGGGTGGAATGACGACAACAAACAACGCAACAAACAGAATTCTCACCACGGATCCCCACTTCAGCCACGCACCCAGGGACAATTGATGACCGTTCGGCCCCCTCCTTCTGATACATATTTATATGTGTGTGTACATATATATGTGTGTATACACACATCTGCATTTATCAGACATGTATATGTATAGATGTGTATATATATGCACACTCTCCGCCGGTTTAATTCATCCGCGCCTTTCCGGGCTTTCGGTGGCCGACGACGGCCCAAGAAAATCCCCCCATTGGCCCCGACGACGTCCAAGGAGAACTCCCAGACGGCTCAAGAGAGCCCCAAGACGCCTCAAGAGGAGACCAAGAGGGTCCACCCAGCCAGCCTCAGCACGGCCCCAGAATGTCTCACGACAGCCTAAGTGGTTCCAAAACCGCCTCAAGGGATCCTTGGAGACGGGCTCCCAGGAGACCACCAAGAGGGCTATGGAGGCCCCATAAACGGTTCCAAACCGGCCCCACGAGACTCCTAAGACGAATCCCCCCAGCATGCGCCCGTAAGTTCCAGGACGGCCGTATTCCCCCTCCCTCGTCGAAGACATCCGCGCAGACCTTCGAAAGTCTATGTTTGTCTCGTCTCTTATCCTCACCTGCGGGGTGCTAGGTGAGGGCGCGGTGGGGACGTCGGCAGCCTGCGAGACTTAGGCGAAGCCCGCCGCAGGCGCCAAATTTTCACAAATTATACAACGAGCCCGCCGCAGGCGGCGATCTTTTCTTCGAATCAATTTGGATCGGTTCCGGGTGGGTCGCGGGTTGGGTTGCGGGCGGGTTGCGGGTGGGTCGCGGGGTGGGTCCCGGGTGGTTCGCAAGTGGGTCGTAAGTGGGTCGCGGGGTGGGTCGCGGGGTGGGTCGCGGGGTGGGTCGCGGGTGGGTCGCGGGTGGGTCGCGGGTGTGTCGCGGGGAATGTCGCGGGTGTGTCGCGGGTTGGAACGCGGGGTGGGTCGCGGGGTGGGTCGCGGGTGGGTCGCGGGGGGGACGACGACAACAACAAAGAACAACAACAACAAAGAACAACAACAACAACAACAACAACAACAACAACAATCACAACAGCAACAGCAACAGCAACAGCAACAACAACAACAACAATTACTAGCACGTGGGGATACTCCGTTCTCACCAGTGCCAGGGTTTTCATAGGAGGCGGGCAATACCCCCACTTTGTGGGGGGGCCGGTTCAAGCTCTACCAAATTTCCAAACGACTCTTCGCCACCACCCACACCCAGCTTCCCGCCCTATGACGTTCGGACACTTCACTTCGTGGCATGCGGACGACCGTGGCTACTATTCAGGGCCCCGCGGCCGACGACGACGGCGTGCGCGCGCGAAGAAAAAACGAATGTGTCCCGCATGGTATTATTTGACAGGGATGATGGCCCTGGCAGGTGCGCAACCGTTGTTGCAGAAGTTCGAAAAAGTTGCTCGCAAAAGCCCGTTTGACAGAAATGATTAAACAGTGTTGGGTTTCCTACAAATCCGCAAGAGCGCGCGGGATGAAATTTTGACATTGTTTTGAAAAACCATTGTTTTTTTGATGTTTTTATGTTAAAATCGCTACGAAAACTAAGGTTTTGGAAGGATTTCGTCTTGCGCGCGCGAATGTCCACTTTACCTTATTTTTTCAAGGGATTCTTGAAGTTTGGTTATGTTAGAACAAGAAATGTCAACTTTAGCTTATTTTCTGCAAGGGAAAACCGATCGTAACAACACAACCGGATCCGGACTCCCCCGTTTTGCCTGAGACTTCCTCACGAAAATGATGAAAATGAGGCTGCGGCTTAGGCGCGGCGGGAGGGTCGTGCACCAGGGGCCCCAACAATAATTATTCTTTAGAAGTAATAATGTTCAACAACAACAACAACAACAACAACAACAACAACAACAACAACAACAACAACAACAACAACAACAACAACAATAACAACGCAACAAACAACATCCTTACCGGTATCGAACTTCAGCCACGCACCCAGGCACAATGAATGACCGTTCGGCCCCCTCACTCTGATTTATTTCTCGTGTTCCTCCTCCACCTCCTCCTCCTCCTCCATCTCCTCCTCATTGTTCGATCATCGTTCGCCCTTTCTTCAACATGCTCTCCTCTTGTTCCTCCATCTCTTGTGCACCAGACATTGGTTGGACGATGCCTGCGACCACATACCGTCGGACAGCTGGGAGCACGCCCTCCTCCAGCACGTGCAGACAACGAACCCGAGCCCAGCCGCGCTGCCCCCCAGGGGGCCCGCCGGCAGGCCCGACGGTGGACTCGGCGCCCTTCGCTCCGCCCCGCTCCTCAGGCATGCGATGCTCCAATGGTTTCACTACGGGGTCCCCAGGAGTCCCGACCGTTCACCCCAGGACCAGTTCTTCATCCTGAGATTTTTTGACCGTCTTGGAGCCCCTTGAGTCTAGGCCCTCCCAGATGGGTTCGGAGTAGATGGAGTCTGAGGATCGCGCCGCATCGCCGATACATGGGCGATGCAGCTCGATGTGGAGCCCGAGTTTCTCCACGCCGACGTCGCCGGTGCATCACCGACGTTGCCGGTGCATCGCCGATACATCGCCGGTGCATCATCGACGTTGCCGGTGCATCGTCCTTGGGGCCAGTTCTTCATCCTGAGCTGTTTTGTCGAGGGTCTTGGGGCCCCGCTGAGGGCTCCCAGCGGAAGCGGCGAAAGACCTCCCGCCCCAGTTTTTGTCACACAGCGAGCACGGCTGGGCTCCGATCCGCTGTTCTTTTTCCTCGTGCCCCCCCCTCACCATCGCCGCAACAAGCTGGGCTCAAGGCCGTCCCCTTTGCGGGCCAGGGCGACGCGCGGCAGTGGCGGTTCCCCGACAGCCCCGCGGGGCCCGCAGGGCTCCAAAGAGAGCATGGGCCGTCAAAAAAAAGAAGGGGAACCCCCCCCCAGCGTTCGCAGCGGCAAGAACGACTCCGTCTGGCGCGAGGTCGTGTCGCGGTTGGAGGCTGACTACCGGGCCTCGCCGTTGTCGCCTGGCGAGGCAGAGGTGGTGTTGAGCTTGTCCATGGTCAGCCAGCTCAAGGATCGCCGGCCGAATCCCGATCGCAAGGGAGAGAGTGAAAGGGAGAGAGAGAGAGGGAGGGAGAGAGGGAGGGAGGGAGAGAGGGGAATGGAAGAAGAGGGAGGGGGAAGGGAAGCCCGGCAAGCGCGCTTCAAAAGACCAGGTAACCAGAACCAGGGAGACGAAAAGACCAGACGGTACCGGGGAAAGTGGACGTCATGTAAGGCCACGCCGCCGGGGCACAGAGGTAAGCCTGGGTGGACAGCGGCGCGTGGACGCCCGCAGGTCCTGAGTGGTCGGCGGGCGCTCAGCGATCTTCGTAGCGGACCTAAAGATAACTGCGGTAGCGATAACAACAATAATAACAATAACCATAGCAACGATAACGACAACGATAACAACGATATCGTATCGTTATCGCTGTTCTTGTGCTCCTGATGGTCACGATGCCCAGAGGCTGCGTGGAGTGTCCCACGTCATGCCTTGGCCGTGGCCCTTCCCTGCAGCGTTCTCTCTGTGCTTGGCTCTGTCCTGCAGTCGACCAATGTATTCTGGTGAGGCGCCCACCAGGTGACGTCGAAGTCCGCTTCGGCCAGGTTCTCGAGGAACCTCGCAGCGCTTTCCAGGGACTGGCGAAGGGAGTCCAGGAGCGAGTTCGCGGCCGCGCGATGGTCCCAGTTCCACTCTACATTCTGGCAGTATGCGTGCCAGGCCCCCGACAGCATGTGAGGCGTTCCAAACATGGCCTTGCCTTCGAGGATCGAAGGATTTGTCGTCTCTTCCGCCTCGGAAGGCGGCGGAAGGTCGGCGGCAGAAACGAGGCCGCCTCCGCTGGCAGAAGCCGGCGGAAGGGCGGCGGAAGGTGACGGAAGTAAAACATGCGTCCCCGCAAGAGATGAAAACCTTTTTGGGTTCCAGTTTCCGGGATACGCCATGTACCCCGCTTTGTTCCACAGACCGTTGGTTGAGATGATTCGCCTATTTGGAGGTTTCTAGGCGATTCGGTGGAAGGGTAAAGTCGGGCATGTCCTTCTACAGGAAGAAAAAATAGGTTTGTCAACGATGTGTCGTGTCCTTTCGATTATGCTTGATTTTTCTGTGATCTCTACCAAAATCCGCCTGTAGGAGGACAAGCCTGATCTAATGGAAGGGCCTTTTACACATGTCGGACGTGGCTGGCCGTTGCCTTCAGGTCCCGCGCGCTGGCTGCCTTGCTCACCGAGAGTCGCTCCACTACTCGCAGAGTGCCTACTCGCAAGTGTTCGACAAATATTCGCTCGCCTCAGTGTAAGTATCGGAGGTTGGGGGGTGAGATCGCGGTGGAACGGAGACCCCCAACCGGGAAATCGTTTCGTTTCGTTCGTGTCGTGCGTGCGGGCGAGGCGAAGCTGCGTGGGCGCGCGAGAGGAATGAACCCGCCGATGCTAGGGCAAAATCAAGACAAATGCTTCTCCTCCGTCCGTCCGTCCGTCCGTCCGGCGGTGGCCCTGCCGGGGTCCCGCGGTGTCCCGTGGTGTCCCGTGGTGTCCGCCGTTGGTAGGGCGAAGTCAAGACACACGTTTCTCCTCCGTCCGTCCGTCCGTCCGTCCGGCGGTGGCCCTGCCGGGGTCCCGCGGTGTCCCGTGGTGTCCCGTGGTGTCCGCCGTTGGTAGGGCGAAGTCAAGACACATGTTTCTCCTCCGTCCGTCCGTCCGTCCGTCCGCCCGTCCGGCGGTCGCATTAGCGGTGTCCCGCGGTGTCCCGTGGTGTCCCGTGGTGTCCCGTGGTGTCCGCCGTTGCTAGGGCGAAGTCAAGACACATGATTCTTCCCCGCCCGCCCGTCCGTCCGTCCGCCTGGCAATGACTCACAGTGTCCAGCGGTATCCCGTGGTGTCCCGTGGTGTCCCTTTGAGTGAGGTCGATATTGAGATCGATATTGAGATCGATACTATAATCGATGTGATGCCCCGAGGTGTCCCGTGGTGTCCCACAAAGTGAGATCGATAGTGAGATGGGTAGTGAGATCGACAGGTGTCCCGTGGTATCCCGTTGAGTGAGATCGATAGTCAGATCGATATTGAGATCGATATGGTGGTGCCCCGAAGTGTCCCATGGTGTCGTGGTGTCCCGTGGCGTCCCAAAAAGTGAGATCGATAGTGAGATCGATAGTGAGATCGACAGGTGTCCCGTGGTGTTCCGTGGTGTCCCGTTGAGTGAGATCGATAGGGAGATCGAGAGTGAGATCGATCGTGAGATCGATGTGGTGTCCCGAGGCGTCCCGTGGTGTCCCGTGGTGTCATATGGTGTCCCGTTGGATGAGAACGATAGTGAGATCGATAGTGAGACCGATAGTGAGATCGAGAGGTGTCCCGCGGTGTCCCATGGTGTCCCGTGGTGGCCCGTGGTGGCCCGTGGTGGCCCGTGGTGTCCCGTGGTGTCCCGTTGAGTGAGATCGATAGTGAGATCGATTGAGCCAGATGTTGGTTCCCCCCATCTCCCCCCCCACAACCTTCTTATCACCAGAAGGGTGGTCGTATAGGTATCGTAAATCGTAAGAATCTCCGCTGCGGATTGAGGCCATTTGCGAATAGTTTTTTTGCGAGTGGTGGAACGCACTTGTCTACTGGCAGTGTCAGCCATTTCGTCTCGCGCCCACCGCCTCTGCCGGTTTATCCCACGAGCCGTGCCAGGCGCCCCTGTTTTGCCGTCCGTCCCGGGAGTCACAGGGCTGCCACTGATCCCAGCCGCTCGCTCGTGCCTCGCCCGTGGTGGCCCGCCCGCTCGTGTGTCGCCCGTGGTGGTCTGTCGGACGGGGCTTGGACGAGGCTAACCCTGAGATCCTGGCGTCTCGACTGTTTCGAGCCGGGCGTTCTTGCCTCTCTTCGGGCCCCGGGACTCACAGATCGACCCAGCTCGAGAAGTGACGCAGAAAGATGAGGTATAGGGCTGTTGTCGTCGCCTGTTCGCGCTGTTGCAATGTTTGTCGCTGCGTCGGATCTCAGGGAACTCCGTCCCAGAGCGTTCTGGAACGCTGTGCAACAGCAGCGGCGCCCGATGCATCCTCCAGAGCTGCCGGGTTGCAGAGATTCTCGATTTGTCCTCACCCGGATTTAGCCTCGTCCTGGATTGATCTTAGCTTGCTGGGACCTGCTGGCGTCCTGGGAAGCGGGGCCGGGGGCCTGGGCGGGCCCCGAGCTCGTCGTCCGGCCCCCGGGTGTCGGAGGCCTTTGGCTGGTCCTCACCTGGCTGGCGGTCCACTGCGCTCCAGGCAGGCTCGAGCTTTGGGTCCAGGTCGGGCCTGTCCGCTGAGGTGGAGCTGATGGGCGCACTGGGGACTTCGGGGTCGTGCCCGCCGAATGTCACCTGCCTGATCGTGCGCCTTTCGGCAGGGGCTTCGAGACTGTCTGCAGGGCGACGGTCAGCTGGGAGCTCGTCGCAGGGCCAGGCCTCGCTCTGCTGCTGCGGCGTCTCGGGGTCCGAAGACCGCGGGCCAGCAGCGCCAGGACCCCTGTCCCCGTCTCGCCGCCGCCCCTGGTGGTGGGAAGGTGGGGCGGGGCGGGCGCGGCCTTCTTGGCCCTTGGAACGGCCTCGTGAGGCGCCTCGTCGGTCGGCCCGGCAACTCGGGAAGCAAACAATGACATAAACATAAAATCTCGGAGGTCCGCGCGGATTTCTCGGATCGGCGTTGGAGCGCGCCAGGGGCGGCGTCGGAGGCGCCAGCGCCCATCCGAGAAGTCCGCGCGGACCTCCGAGTTTTTATGTTTATGTCATTTCTCGTTCCCCTAAACTCGCCTCGCAGGGGGTGGGGCGGCGGCGGCGGGACTGGTGCGCCCCTGGCGCGTTCGCGCTCCGCGGTGGCCGAAGGGGGCCCACCGTTCGCACGCGCCTACCCCACCAATTTTGGGACGCCCCTCACACGCATCGTGGCCCCACAGGGAGTCACACCGAGGGCGCAAATGCCAGCGTTCGCATGCGCCCACCGGGCCCAGTTTGGCAAGCCCCTCGCACGTTCCGTGGCCCCATAGGGAGCCCCACCGAAGGCCCAAATGCCCGAGCTCGCATGCGCCCACCGCACCCATGTTGGCACGCCCCTCACACGATTCGGGGTCCCATAAGGAGCCCCACCGAAAGCCCAATTCAAATGCCAGTGTTCGCACGCACCCACCGCAGCCATTTTGGTACACCCTTCACACGTTTCGTGACCCCACAGGGAGCCCTACCGAAAGCCCAAAAGCCAGCGTTCGCATGCGCCCACCGCACCCATTTGGGCACGCCCCTTACACGCTCCGTTGCCCCACAGGCACGCACCCCTTCACACGTTTGGTAGCCCCATAGGGAGCTCCACCGAATGACGATTCCACAGTTGCTGATGGTCGGGTTCTTCGCCAGGCTGAATTTTTGAGTAATTGTTGAGCCTCCCGGAGGCTTCTCGTCGCCGCGGATGGGTCTGAGCCTTCCGGAGGTTTCTCGTCGCCACGGTTGGATCCGCTTCGAGCGACGAGTCAGGATGCATCCAGGGAGGGAATTGGAGACCCATGTGTGATGCAGTGTTGCTTTAGACTCGGGCAAATGTACCTAGATGAAGGCGAGGCCCGAAATGTAACCTGGACTGCACGCAAGTCGGGAAATCTCGCTTGCACGTCTTTTCGGCCCAGCGCTGTTTGGAATGGCGGCGGCGGAGGGTGGACGGGGGGGGAGAATTCCCGTATGCAGGCTGGCTCGCTAGAATCTGCATGCAAGCGCGATCCTATGTTGGCCACGCGCAGAGGGGGGTAGGGGGGGGGGGCAAGCCTTCTTAGAAATACCCTTGATTCTCAGAAGGCGCGTGCCTTGCCTATAGACGTAAAGCCTGCGCCCTTTCAGAAGCAGCCTACTCCTCAGAAGCAGCCTTCCCTCTTCCCCCACATCCCCTTGTGCGTGCCGCCAACTGCTGGCCCTCCCCCAACACGAGGAGGAGCTCGCCAGCGAGGTCCGCAAGATCGTACGGGAGGAGCTGTGGCGGCCCTTCGGGCAGGGCCCCGCGGAGCAGCCCGCGCCCGTGGCCAAGGAGCGAATGGGGGAGCGCGGATGAGGTAGGAAGAGGTGGAGGAGGAGGAGAAGGGGAGCAGGAGGAGGAGGAGGAGCAGGGAAAGGGTTCCTCCTCCTCCTCCTTCTCCTCCTCTTCCTCCTCTTCCTCCGCCTCCTTCTCTTCTTCCTCCTCCTCCTCCTCCTCCTCCTCCTCCTCCTCCTCCTCCTCCTCCTCCTCCTCCTCCCCAAACAGCCCCTCTGCACTAACGCCCACGCCTGCGGCCGTGCTGACGCGCCCGCTGTCGCCGCCTCGTTTCCGTCGAATCTGGGCAGTCTTGAAAGTGAGAGCTGAAGCAGTGGAGTGGGTCGGGTCGGCCATTCCTCTTCCTCTTCTTCGGTCGGTGGTTTTTCTCCCCTCTCAGCTTCTATGTGAGGCGCTCCAGACATGGACTCGTCATCGAGGATCGATTGTGTTGCCATCGCTTCCTCGGCGGAAGGCGGTGGGAGGTCGTCGGCAGGAGGCAGGAGTACAACGAGGGCGCCGCCGCCGGCGGAAGCTGGCGAAAGGCTGGCGGAAGGCGGCGGGGAGCGAAAGGCGCGCCCCCAAAAGATGCCAGTCTTTTTGGGGGGTCCGGGGTTTTGGAATTTGCCACACATCCACCACGTTGCTAAGGAAAGTGCCTCGCATCAAGACGGGTGCCCCTTCACTCTGCCCTAGCAGTTAGATGCCCCCACAGCGGCGGTAGCCAAAATGCCAAACAAATACTCGATGTTTCCGCTTTCGCCGGGCCTGGATCGGCTAGGCCTTGACCTTGGCTGACGCCCGCGAGGCGTTGGGTGCCCAGAGAGACCCGTGGACTCAGGAATTAGAGGCGCTCCTCTTCCTTCCCCTACTCCACCCCCCTGCGTGGATAGCAGGGCTCCGTCAAGGATTCGGGGATATCCAGGGCACACCCCGTCGGTGGGAAGCCGACGGGGAGGTCGGTGCGCCCAGACGGGCGGTGAATTGGATACACGGGCGACCATTCCCCAGGATTGGCGGATGCTTTTTATTTATGTATTTGTGCTCGTCGCCGGGGCTTGGAACGCCTGGAGAGGGAGGAAGGGAAAGGAGGTAGGACGAGGAGGAGGAGGAGGAGGAAGGGTGGCGAATGGGGAACAAAAGTACGAACAGGCGATCCCGCGTAGTGATTCGAGACAAACGCGAACCCATTAAATTAATCAGCATCCCTAAGCAATGCAGGGTTTAGGCCATAATACCGACCCAAGATGATGCAACTGTTCCCGTCGATGTGACAAGGTTCGAGAAGTGCATCATGGTGTTGTGAGATTGCACATGGAGGCACGAACACATATATATATATATATATATACACACCAAATCCCTAACAACACCAGACCCTATGGGTTTTGCTGAAGCCGCACCGAACGTAACTCACGTGCCGATATGGAGCCGCGCCCCACAAGAATATCCACCCATGGGTCGTCACAGGGGACGGATCTAACCCGGGCGTCGAGCGCCACTCCTGGGGTGTGGTTCGCGTGGCCGGCCCAGAGCAGAATTGGCATTTCGAATGGGGGCTAATCCGAGGCGCGCGCAGGACCAAAGGCCGCGACCAACTTCTGAGCAGGCAATTGCGGGCACCTTGCCCCTCCCATGACAGTTCCGGAGCTTGGATCCGGCATGCAATGAACAGCGACTGCTGTGGTCCTGTGCTGCATGCTCTAAACAGCCTGGCCGCGGCAGGGCTCGGGCAGTGAAGACACGACTGTCGGAAACGCCTTTTCCGGCGCCGCCGGCTCCCGGCAGCCTGATCAGGAGAGCGAGCATGGATGCGAGAAAAACGAGCACTCCCGCCTGCATCCCAACCCGCGCGGATCCTCCATCGGTGCGGCGTGCCGAAGACCTGTGGTGAGACAAAGGCGCGGGGCGCGGCCGCCGACGTAAGTCGATCGTTAAGCACAATTCGCGCAGTTGATTCCTAGCGCGCGTGTTTCTCAACAGCGGGTGCTGGATAGAGGTGCGAGCCAGCCAAACGCAGTGAAGCCGATCCTCGCGCGAATTGCACGCGATGTCCTCTTCGCAACAACCGGCCAGCATCAACTCCTGATGGGGACGTAGAGTTGCTGCCAAGGATACCTGAAATTACAGACCCGCGGTCAGCCACATAACACATGAAGTTGGAGCATTCCCCCATGCGATTTTTAGCGCCAACAATTCTGCACGCGGCACTGACAGATGAGGGCCAGGCAACGAAATCGAAACCGAACGGTGAGTTACCATTGGAGTAACTAGTGGAAGTGAACGAAACTTCCGCCATTCCAACACGTCCAAACCGATTATCCCCCGATGCTTTTCCCCCCGGAAGCGCCACAGAAAGCCGATACATTACCCAACCAAGAGCCAGCCATGAGGCACCCAGGAAAATATCATTGCATCCAACCGCCCACCTTCCTGATCAGGAGGCGGCAGTAGCGCCGTGGCCGATGCCGAAAACAGGCCCCTCAACCAAACATGCGGTTTGGCTTCAGCTAGAGGAAACAAATCTGATGCCGGAGATGCACACTGCCCGTGCGCGGCGATGCGCACGACGCGCCCCCATTGGATAAGTCGCCCTGGGGGCCGAACGACTCGGCGGCGGCGGCGCGGGGCAGGGCGATTCGGTCGGCCGCCCTCTCTTTCCCCGCGGGTTCAGTCCCCCCGAACCCCCGAGGGCGCGAAACGCTTCCATCGGAAGAGTCGCCCTCGGGAGTCCGGGAGATCTTGCGCCCGCCAGAGAGGGGGCGGTGACCGAACGATTCGGCGGCGGCGGTGCTGGGCCAAGTGGTCGTTCGCCCCCCCCCCCCCACCCCACCGCCATGGGTTCGGGGGCTCGCCGAGGCCCCGGAGGCGCGAGACGCCCCCGCCGGGGAACACCGCGCCCGCGGGGGAGGGATCTGGGGCCGAGCGGCTCGGCGGCGGCGGCGGAGGAGGACGCGTTGAACCGTTCGGCCACGCCACGCGCCCACGCGGGTTCGGGGATCTCGCGCCCTCAAGAATGGGGGCGGGGACCGAACGACTCGGCGACGTTGGCGGCGGGGGGCAGGGCGATTCGCTCGGCCGCGCTCCCCCCCCCCGCGGGCACGGGGCACCCCCGAAACCCCGTGGGCGCGGGGCGCTTCCATTGGAAGCGTCGCCCTCGGAGCCGGGGGAACTCCCGCGCCCGCGGGAAAGGGGGCGGGGACCGAGCGACTGAATTCCGCTCTGCGGCGGGGCGGCAGCGGGGGCGGGGCGGGGGCGGAAACGCCTCGCCATGCTGAGCTCTGATTTCTGGGCTCGTCAGGGCGGAGGAAGTAGAAGGGGTGGCTGGGGGGGCGTGCGATTGCGGGGGGGGGGCGAGCTCTGCTCCTCTTCGATTTCATCTTGTTCCTTGTTCCCCCCCCCTCCCCCCCCTCCTCTCGCCCACCTCCCCCCCCCTCTGAACCGGCAATCCCTCGGGAACCGCGGCAGAATCTGCAGGCGTCCTTCAGGAATCCTGAGGAGTCATACAAAATGATCCTTCAATCCCCAAGAATCCCCCAGGGAACCTCCGGAAGTCTGCAGAATTTTCAGGCGCCCTCAGGAATCGCATAGGAATGCCGCGGTAATCCTTCAGGAATCCCGAAGACCCCCCCTGGAATCCACGGGGAACCTGAAGGAGGAACCCACGCGATTCTACGACACCACAACGGGAATCTAGAGGAAACTTCAAGACCCCCCAGTGACCCTCGAGGACACGAGTTCTCCCGGGAGCCTTGAGTTTTTTCCCAGGAATCCTCGGGCGGGCAAGCGACGCTGAAGGAATCTTCGGGAATTCTTCGGGATCCCAAGGGACCCGCAGACGTCTTCCAGACGCCGCGCAGGAATCGTGCAAGAATCCCCCAGGAATCCTTTCGGGGCCCATTAGGAATCCTCCAGTAACCTTCACGACGCTCAGAGAACTGCGAAGCACTGTTGGCGATTCCTGCACGAATATTTTAAAAGCCACCAATGTCTCAGAACTCCGAAACGCATCCTGCGGGGGTCCCCAAGCAGCCCCCCAGCCTGAAAGGCCGCGAGGGAAACCGTCGACGCAATCTTGTAAGGGGCCTCGAAGGGAAACCCTAAGGGGCATCTACGGAGCCTCTAAAAGAACCTCTAAGACAGCATCTAAGGGTACTGTCAGGAGCCTCATGGGAAACCTCTCGGGACCATGGCCCCTCCTCCTCCTCGCCCTTCTGGCCAGCTTCGCCCCCCAGCAGGAGCAAGGCTCGGGCCGGGCCGCCGCGGCCCCAGGGGGGGAGACGTGGACGTGCGGAAGTTGCGGATGCAAGCGCAACATCATGGGCCGGTGGTTCTGCAAGAATTGCAAGGTCACTCGCTGCGACCGCGACGCGCCCCCTTCGAATGCCGAGCGTTCCTCGTCGGGGCATTCGTGGGCTTCGCACGACCAGTTGCCGCCGCCGCAGAGCGGGCCCGGCAGCTTGCCGCCGCGCTCAGGGCCGCCCATTGCGGCGGGCGGAGGCGCAGTTGGCGCCAGCTCGCCGCTGGCGCCCCCTCTCCACCGACGCGCCCAGCACTTGGAGCAGAGCGGCGATGCGCCAGGTGCTCGGCGGCACCATCCAGCCCTCGAGAAGAAGCGCCGCGACGTGGACGCCCCAGTCGCGCCGCTGCAGGCTCGGGTCAACATGGCGCCCCACGAGCTGCAGCAGCTCATGGGGTGGATCGACAAGGCTTGCAACGCGTGCGACAAGATGCGGGGGGGGGCCTCTGCCGTCAGAGGGACAAGATCGCAGGGTCCCACGGCGAGCTCACCAGGGCGGAGGCCGCCCACGCGCAGCTGGTGCAGCTGCTGCACGAGCAGGTCGCGAAGCCTGGGGTTGCGCCAACGCCTGAGACTGCGCTGCTGGACATCGCGTCGATGGCGCAGGGCGCGGCCGACGACCCCCAGTTCTCGAGCGGCTCGCTGCTCAAGCCGCGCGATGACTACGAGCCCACTGGCCCCGACGCTGAGGGGGCGGAGCGCCGCGCGAAGGAGCCCAAG